GTGTGGTCTCTAGTGTTAGAGTTAATACCCCAGTCATTATACGTACTACATAGGTATCAGTCAACTCTTTGTTAACCTGAAATTTTTTATGAAAATAATGTTAGAAGACTACAGCTTTTAGTTATGCCAGTTGTTAATAGTAATGTAGAGTAAGTTCTCCTTCATCACAGGTGTGACCAAAAACAAATACTCTTTGCGTGGCTTTATCAGGATGCCAAAAGAGACACAATGCTAAACAGCTCACTAGGTGGACTCTGATGTCAAGTACATGCAAGGGTTCATTTCTTGGCCATGCTTTTCCATAGGAACCTCCAAAGAGAGGCACACATTGCCTCCTCCTGTACAGTCGTTGCAAGGCACATATATACTTGGGACTGCTTGGTGAATCAAAGTGTGTCACTGAATCAGCAACAGCCTCCATAGCATTAGGATCTAGCATATGGCTTTCATATTTCATTTCTACTAGGTGGGCTGGTTAGTACTGACCAGCTCCATCCATGGAAATAAACAGCTGCAAGATCATGACAACAAATTGCTCAGCAATAGACTTTGAAGTCTCTCTACATACACTCATCTTGTGCATACAAACCTTGACCCTGTTTGCTGGAGGCTGTGTAAAGCTTGTACTGGGTTCAGCACTGCGGGGTTAGGTGAAGGTGCCCATAAAGGATTTAAGTGCTCAAACGGCAGAGTGGCATTAGTAGTACTGTCTCAGGCTTCCTGTGCAGTACGTGTGGGACATAGGCACCTCCAAAAAGACTCTGACACAGCCAGTGCCCTGGGCAGGGCAGGCTTTAATATACAGGTGTCTGCAGCTACTTAAAATTTGAATCTTCAATCTTATTGCCTCCTGGAAATCTCCGTCAGGGCTCATGCAAAGCAATGGACCCTATGACTTCTTTCAGTGCTAATAGTGCTTAGCACTTTTCAGTGCTAATTCTCACTGTTAAAAAAAAAATAATAAAGAAAGAACATTGCAGGTACTGTCTTCCTCCTCCTGCTTTACAGAACTGGTTAAAAACCTTCCCAGAAAGTGCAAGATCCAGGTTTGACTCCAGAGGCAGTGAGGTAACCCACCAACTCACCTTCTCACCAGGTGAGAAGCCATGTCCCTCTCCTCACTCCAACACCTTTTCCCATGTAGCAGCAGTTCCATGTGTATACAGAAGTGACCTGCAATTACCTTTGTTTATCCAGGAGCAGGGACTGGCTGCAGGTCTTCCGTGTGTTGAGCACCTCATCCCTAGCCTAGGTGGTGCTTTTTTTCCAAAGTGCTACAGTGCCTATTTCCCAGGACAAACTTACCAGGTTAGATCCCTCAAGGAACTGAAGATCCATTAGGCTGAAGGATAAACAAAACACTAAGCTGCGCTGATCATACGAGGTGTGTACGGTACCGCCTGCCAATTAGTCAGCTGTTGAGTAGGTCTGTAGTGATGGCAACTTTGAATATAAACAATTATATTTTTCTGAAAGAATATTGCTAGCACTCAGAAAGAGTGATTATTGATGAAATGGCTGAAAAATAATTGTGGCTTTGAAAGTTAACATGGGTGCTTGTCCTTAACCAAGCATTTGACACTTACATCTTGACTCAGCATGGCATTATTCGAGTCTTGCACGGTTAAAATGCAGTACTGTACACTGGTTCTCTGATAATGCTTGATTCTAGCTTCATGTGGCAAGTTCAGGAAACTTCAGGAATGGGTTTCACCTAATGTCTTACTAAGGATGCCCTTTTACATTTCACTGTGTTAGGCCAGGCTAGACATTCATAACAGCACTGTCTGACCTTAAAATCTCTGATGCAGCTATTCCCTACCCTCGGTGCCTTTATTTGACTCAGCAGTTCATTTTTGGTCCCAGACATGTACAAGCATCATTTCCTTTTAACTTCTTGGCTCAATTATTGGAGAAGGGTGGAGAGGTTTTGGCTTCTTTGCCATTGTTTGGGCATGTTCAAGTTGATAGAGATGAGTTCTGCTGGGCAAGTTATCAATAGCTCACGTGCTAAAGCTTGAGGATATTAAGCAACTTTTTCCAGACTTTCCCTGAGATTCAGTCAGTTAAAAGACTATACATAAAAACTTCAATTGCACATACAAAGGGGAAAGTTTCTTTGATGAAAGCCAGGAATTTAGATCAAAACACAGTTTATTTTCCCAAGGTTGACAGTGAAAGGATAGAAAAAAAATGCTGTTTTATTAAGACCAGAAATCCATTTCTTGATCTTAAAAGACTGGTTTTTTGCAAGGGAGGGAAGCTGTGCTGTAATGACAGGATCAGAGAATTCATTTCTTTTTTATCCTTTTGTACGGAAACACTTCATAGGAGAGAAAAAGCAATAACAAATTAATATAAAAGAAGCCTAGTACAGTATATAGTCAGTCAAATGTAAACGCTTCAGATCTTAATCTAAATCCTGTGAGCTCTACCCATACAAGTGGTGCATTGATTTCAGTCATATAATTCTTAATATAAGCATACTGTAGCCCCTACTCACTAATAGGAATTTTCTATTTCTGGCAAGACAAGCGAAGTAGTGGACCCCAAATGGAAAAGCAGAGTACAACTGCACCATTAATGAAAAGTTTACCTTGATGTTTGTGACCTTCTGTGTGCTTGAGGGATTAATAAACATACAGGCTATTTGACTTCAAGGTGATCTAGAGGGGATCCATTACTTAATCTGTTTTCTAAAGCGAGTCTATTTTGGGTACTGAGTTTTAATTCACCTATAGTGGTAGTAAGCCTAAGCTATCTTTTATTAAGCTTCTCTATGATCCCCGTTGTGAAAGACTTTCGGACAGGCCAGAGCAGGGACGGTCCCTTTTGCTGGTGGGTGATTACAGCACCTGTCGGAGCCCAGCCGTAAGTATTCAAGGAAGTCCTAGAGATAGGGTCCGATTTCTTTGACAGTCTCTCCAAATATATATTTAAGAGGCTTCCTCCTGTCTTGAAATTTAAGACCCTAAATAGCCAGTGGAAAAAAGCAGTATTCGTAACTTCAGACTTTATGCTCGCCTGGTTTATTTTTATTTTGTAAGTGATTCTGTGTTGACTTTTTTTTTTCCAAGCCTGTAACTTTTCAGACAGAAATATAATTGATGACAGCTATGCTGCTGCAACTCGGTAGTATTTTTTCAAGAAACAGTTAAAGACATACATGATGTAAGGAAGTGCTGTTCCAACTTCAGCTTTGGCCAACAGATGGTGAAACAAACATGACCAGCAGACAAGCAAGATGATAGCAGCAGGGAAAATATGAATAGTAGTAAGAAAACACAAATATTAAGTCCATTACTCTGAGAGGCCCTAATTCAGCAAAATATTCAAGCATGAGTTTCTGATTCATTGACTTGCAACGCACTTGCTTGGTTAGCCTTAAGCAGACATTATTTGTTTTATGACCTTAATGTCAAACGCATCAATTGACATAAAACATTGTCATTAACTTTCCTGTAATTCTGAGAAAGCTGTTGCATAAAATGGTTAATGTGATTGTCAACAAAAAGCAGTTAGGTAGCAACATATTCATAGAATCATAGAATCATAAAATCATTTAAGTTGGAAAGGATCTTTAAGATCACCGAGTCCAACCGTAAACCTAGCACTGCCAAGTCCACCACTAAACCATGCCCCTAAGTGCCACATCTACATGTCTTTTAAATACCTCCAGGGATGGTGACTCAACCACTTCCCTGGGCAGCCTGTTCCAATGCTTGACAACCCTTTTGGTGAAGAAATTTTTCCTCATGTCCAATCTAAACCTCCCCTGGCGCAACTTGAGGCCATTTCCTCTTGTCCTTTCACCAGTTACTTGGGAGAAGAGGCCGACACCCACCTTGCTACAACCTCTTTTCATGTCATTTTAGAGAGCGATAAGGTCTCCCCTGAGCCTCCTTTTCTCCAGGCTAAACCACCCCAGTTCCCTCAGCCGCTCCTCATAAGACCTGTGCTCTAGACCCTTTGCCAGCTTCATTGCCCTTCTCTGGACACTCTCCAGCACCTCAATGTCTTTCTTGTAGTGAGGGGCCCAAAACTGAACACACTATTCGAGGTCTGGCTTCAGCAGTGCCTGTCTGCCTGCCTGCATTGTTTGTCTCAAGAATACCAGAGCAACCCTCCATGCTAGCCAGCTCCTCAATAACCCAGAGCTTAGGTTAGAAGACTTTACAGCCAGGTAACCTAAATATGCAGACGTTGTCAGAATCAACTGATGTTCTAATGAATTTCTGAGTCCAGGGTGGAGTCCTGGCTCTGTTAAATTAATGAGTACTTTTGCCACAGACTTAATCTCAGTCAAGCTTTAGCCATATACACACATGCTCACACGTGCGTATATCTATGTACACAAATGTATGAATAATACATTTTTGCAATGGTATTGAGAAGACCTTTTAAAGCAGATGTCTGATTATATAAATATAAATTATAAATATATTCAGACATCTGTTTAAAAAATTATAAATACATTCAGACATCTGTTTTAAGAATGTCTTTCCAATATTTTTGCAAACATAACTAAGCAACAGAAGTGATTCAGGGTGGGATGCAGTCATGACATGGATGGGGGATGAGGAGGGGCTGCCCAGACATTCAGCTGTTCTGCTTGCCTGAAACCATATGAAGTGAGTGGTGGCCCAAAAGCCCCTTCTCCAACCCCCCCCCCCTCCAGGGTAATAAGACAGAGTATCTCATTCACCAAGACTAGGCTGCCAAAATAAGATGCTGACACAGACAGCACCTTCTGTGAGGACATTACAAGTAGTAGAAAATGTCCCTAGTACATTAAGTGTATTTGAATCTTACTTTACATGGAGGAAGTACTGCAAAGAGATGTTAAGTTGAGCAAGATGATGCAGTAAGTCCGTGACGCAGCCAGAAGCACAGGGTGTTTCTGTTGATGCTGAGCTCTATGTTGTAGCCACGCGCACCCCTTACGAGGTCTTATAATAGCAAGTGGTGGCTCCACTAACGGTTTCCGTGCTTCTTTGCAGATGTATTGTGAGAGGTTTATATGTATCCTGAGAATACTTGGAACCACACTCTTCGGGGTGTCCCTCCTGCTGGGAATCACCGCTGCTTACATTGTGGGCTACCAGTTCATCCAAACAGACAACTACTACTTCTCCTTTGGACTCTATGGTGCTATCCTGGCATCACATCTCATCATCCAAAGCCTGTTTGCCTTCCTAGAGCACAGGAAAATGAAGCGGTCACTAGAGACTCCAATCAAGCTGAACAAAACAGTTGCCCTTTGTATTGCTGCCTATCAAGAGGATCCTGACTACTTAAGAAAATGTTTACTTTCTGTGAAAAGATTGACCTACCCTGGAATTAAAGTTGTTATGGTCATTGATGGGAATTCGGAAGATGATGTTTACATGATGGACATTTTTACTGAAATCATGGGTAGGGACAAATCTGCCACTTATATTTGGAGTAATAACTTCCATGACAAAGGTCCGGGTGAGACGGAGGAGTCTCACAGAGAGAGCATGCAACACGTATCTCAGCTGGTCCTGTCCAACAAAAGTGTTTGCATCATGCAGAAGTGGGGTGGAAAAAGAGAAGTAATGTACACAGCATTCAAAGCACTGGGGAGAAGCGTGGATTATGTACAGGTAGGTATTAGAGTGCCAGGTCAGTGCCAATTCAAACACACTTTGAAAGAAAGCAGCTTTTGTATATTTTGTGCAGCATGTTAGAGGCCATCCTAGTCCCTGATGAACACAGTGCTCCTTTCAGTCTCTTCAGAAACAGCTTGACTGTTAAAAGCATATCTTGCTACCTTTTAAAATGGTCAACCTATTTGTGAATATGTTAAATCTGTGCACCAGCTACTGGAGAAATCTGAAATCCTTCCTCAGACTTCAGTACTATCCCCTCATCCAAATGGTTTGCTTCAGACAAAGCCAGTGGCCTCCTGAAGACCCCTTCTCTGCTCCTGTAGGTCAAGATCTCAGTAAAGTTTTATTTTGTGAGGTTGTTAGTGGCCCTATATGAAAGCAGACAGACAGGTATTTGGTGGCACTAGGGAATACCCCAGGGCAGTGGTGGAGTCTATAAAAAAGATGGGGATATTTTAAAGGCTTCAAAGGCTGTGCGGAGTATTCAATAAAAGGGTTAATGTGCAGCCTTGAAAGAAAGATTTCTTCAGCTAAACCTGAAGGAGCTTTTGCTTCATCACTTACAGCTGCATTACCTCACTCACCGCGACTTGGCCTTTAAAGCCCTTATGACACTATTCACTTAAAAATGAATTAGGCTGGGTCCTCTCTCCCTGTTTCCAAAGCAGCAGAGACACATTTCTTTCCATCTGCCTTGGATCCCATGAAAGATTTTCTATGTTTTTGCCTTACACATGGAAGCACTCCTCACTCCTGCAAAGAGCCCTGCTGACTGTGGGAAGGGGAAGAGCTTATATGTGGAGGAAGGCGGGTGGGATCAGGGACTCCGGCTGGACACTGAGGATCCTTCCTTCTTGATCAAGGCCAGCAAGGCTTATTTGACTAATCCCACTGAATATGAGATGATCTTCCTAATTAACCACCCACAGCCCTTCCCACCTTCTCCCAACCTCAGAGCATCCAGCGGTCTCCTCCGGTGGAGCAGCAGCTCCCTGCAAGATGCTCTCTGCTGGCTCAGGGCAGCTGTATGGCTGAGCCATATGTGTTTCTGGGGTCCATGCCCAGCTTTGTGTGGGTGTGTGTGTGCATGCTCTGCACGGCACAGCGTCCACAGGCACAATGTCCAAGGGGTGTGGAGAGGCTGCCGGTAGCTGGGCTGAGAGCAGCGAGTCCTCCACGCACAGGGAGGGACAGAAACTGAAGAGTGATAGGAACCACTCTGTTATCGGAGGTGGAAGAGTAAGGCAAAGATTTAAAACCCATCCCCTACCGCTTCCAAAATGGAAATGGATTTATTCTCTGAAAACAATGGGCTTAAGGTCTCCATTGTCTGCACTTTGGTTTTGTGCTGTGAGGGACTATGATGGGATAAAAATGCTGGTTTTCTTTATTAGCGTGGTTTTACAATTGCTTTGCACAGAAGTATCAGATTGCAGAGAGAGAAGGCAGAGAGGAAACAGATTCATTGCAACTTTCCTCCCTCAGTCCAGCTCTTGCATTTGTTCAGGGGACCTGGAAAAAGTGTTTCTGTTTCACAGTATAAACTGAGAAAATGGAAGAGATGTTTCTTGTCTTTCAGTCAATTAACACTCCTGACCTGGTTCAGAAGTCCTGATGAATGTGCCAGGGACTGTAATGCTGCTGTAAGCAGCCACCAAAGGCTGCAGTAATGACTGATGCCACAGTCACATCTACAGTCACATCTATATTAGAAATGCAGCACCTTGTTGGCCCTGGCTGCTACACAGTCGTGATGCAATGCAGCTAAAATGTGGCTCTGTTTTATGAATGAATGAAGGTTGAGACAATTCAAATAGCTCTTTGGGGGTACCCAAGGTAAATAACTTTAAACAAGCCCAACATTTTAAGGACTGAAAAATCTGCATCGGTGATCAAGCACTTAAAAAAGTGGACCAGTCAGCACCATTGCCAGCCACTGAAACTGTGGGCCTCATGGTTCTTAAAAGACACTTTGGGGTTATGGACAGACAATCATAAGCAGTCAGACCAATGCAGATAACGAGCTGTTGCTCATTAGTGGTGTCTTATTAAATACCTGAAACTGCTGTGAAGGCTTGTTTCTGTCCTGGAGGAGGTTAGGAGGGTGCAAGCAATCAAGTAGAGGAGTTAAACTGGCAGATATCATTAGTGCAGAGCTGGTCGGTGCAGCCAGGGTGCAATTAATCTTGGCTTGATGGAGGTACCCATGTGGACAGTCCAGCACAGCCTGAATGTCTCAGAGCAGCTTGGATAAACCGCCACTGGTTATAACAAGTATCTGAACAACTCACTTAAGGTCGAGTGTCCCTTTCATGCAACTCTATGACCCAAGGCAGTAATTTCTAGGTCACTCAGCCCTTATGTGAAAAGATGGTAAATTGGCTCTTGGGCTGTGCTGTGCTGCCTCTGGCTGGGCAGACCTCGGTGTGTTTTATCTGGGTTCCTAAGTGTCTGCCTTTCTCTGGGCTTGTCCTCTTTTCACCTGCAAAAACTTCATCTAAATGGAAAATGATGGCTTGTCAGGTTTGCCCCAGAAACCCAGACATGTCCACTGTGCTGACATGCCCAGGACACATGCTGGTAATTTGTAAATAAATCCAGTGTTTTCAGGATTCTTCATCTCATATTAGTGATGTTACTCATGGGCAGGTCTTTCTGCTATAGATAAATGCATCTGACGGGGTGGGGGCTGCTCAGCTGCCTCAAGTGATAGGCACTGGAGGGAAAGCAGAGGGGCTGGGGAGGGGGCTGATCCCAGCCCACCACTCACGGTCACGAGAAATGGGATGAGTATCACTGCCTGAGCCCTGGGTACTCAGCAAACTACAGATTCCTTGTGCAAAACACTCAGCAACAGGTTTGTTCAGGAAGTCCCAGATAGAAATAGAGGCATCCTTTCCCCTCTTCAGCAGAATTGTTTTGCTCCCTTTCTATCACTGAGTGCTGTCACTGATGACAGCTTTCCACCAAAGCTGGAGGCACACCTTGGCCAGGTTACAAAGGTGCCCCTCAGGATGAGTCGTTTGAGGAGAGGAGCTGGATGCATCAAGTTAGCAGGAGCTGGAGATGCTTGTGGCTTTTCTCATTTGAGAGCTTTCATCAGCTTTCTCCCCTCAGCCTTCTATCAGCATGGAGGGGAACATGTTGGCAGACACTCAGCTGCATCCCAAGCTATGCAGCCCAACTATCCCAGGTAATCTCCCTGTTCGAGTCTGGTCCATAATGGAGACCCAAAACGCTCTCCTCCCCTTTCACAGACCAGACATGAAGGTTTCCACTCCCCTGGAGCGAGGGGGCTTAGGTTGAATTGAAAGGCTGGATGAAATGGCACAAAAATTAGGATACCTGATATGAAGCCTCACCAGAATCTGACTTAACAGGTTATTCATGCAGAGCTAAAGACTTTTGCCCCTACTGTCCCCATCTGAATTTTTTTTTAACTGGAAGCAGTATGAGAATTTGTAGGGCAGGATTCAGCCGGCCAGAGGGGTGTTTCTGGGACAGCCTCCTCTGCTCCAGTTTCTGGGCATCTGTGAAATGAGTTTACACATGATGGGGGCACCGCTTACAGCAGCAGCTGTGACAAGGAGACACCCGCTTGTTTTAAAGAGGCTGCAGCCATGTCATTCGCCTCCGAGCAAAGGAAAGCAATGCCAGCTGCCTCGCAGACAGGCCAGCCTGTCTGAGCCCTCCTCCTACTCTCCAGGGGAAAGCCAATTCCTAATGTACACAGTGTTTAGTTGACTAGGAGTGTTTGTGTGGCTGAAATGCCTTGTGTGTGTCATCTATTTCTGCCCTGGTCTCATGGAGTACTGCACTTCGGGACTTGCTCCTTCTGGCCTTACGTATTTTTTATAAGAATGCCAGCGGAAAATAGCAAATAATTTCTATATATCAAATGTCAAATCCCTGCACTACTAATAACACACCATGCATCTAAAATTAAAAATGAGTTTGTTCTGGAATCCAAGATACATATCTTACATGAATTGCTAAAGCCTTCTGTGAGTGAAAGAACTATTAGATTTCTTCCCAGACTCCTAGCTTACTTTTTCTTTTTTATAACAAGTGTCTGGAATTTAACTCCTTGCTACTTCCCTCATATGGCAGTGGGAAACATTTGAACAGGGTGCTACAACCATGCAGCCAACGCAGGGA